GTTTCCTTTTCATTTCTTCTGTCTGTTAGTTTGCTTCTGTCTGTCAGTCTGTCTCTCACACACTTCCTCTATTCTTTCTCTCCTTCCTTTCTATCTCTTCCTCTCTCCCATGTCTTCTCTCTCACTTTTTATACCGTTTCCTGTCACTTCACTCTCCCCCCCAAAAAAGAAAAAAGAAAATGAAAATAAAATAAATATAGAAACTCTCCCTTTCCAAACAAAAAACAACAAACAAAAAAAAGAAAAAAAAAGAAAAGAAAAGAGAAGAAAAAAAAAAACAGAAATACGAAGAAGAAGAAGAAGAAAATTCTCGCTCGTTACCGGCCGGCAAACAATCCTTGGCAGGTTACAAAGAAAAAAAAATCCTTATTTCGTGCCTCCTTCTCTGGCGCCAGCAACTGAGACACATAAGGATCCTTGTTAATGTGTATCCGGTTCAAGGGTTAGCACTGTATCACCCTTGACACATTCTTGTGAATTCTCGTTGGTATTTTGCATATATTATTGTCATTGCTGTCATCTTTATCGTTATCATTATCGTTATTGTTGTTATTGTTATTATCATTATTATTATTACTATTATTATTATTATCATTATTATTATTATTACATAATAATAATAATAATAATAATATTATTATTATTATTATTATTATTATTATTACTGCAACTACTACCAGTATTACTAATATTTTTTGTATTATCATCATCATTATGATTATCATTCATATCATTACCATGTTTCTTATTATCCCTAAGATTAGTATCATCCTTCTGTCGGATGGTAACAGTGGGCCTTGATGGTCAGTATGGAATGGAATGTACTTTTTAGGATATATAAATTTTTATCAATAGTATTCGTTGCGACATCCTCTTTGGCGTTTTTTGTGAATCAATTCTTTGTGAAATCCTTATTTGATTGATTGGATGAATTGTGGATTTTGTGTCTTAGGAAATATATGGATGTTTATGAAAGATATCTATTCATTTCTTTTTAATATAATTATGACAGTACGTTTGTACGTAAACACAAACGCTCGCACACGCGCAAACACACACAAACACACAGACGCACAGACACACACACACACACACACACACACACACACACACACACACACACACACACACACACACACACGCACACGCACGCACGCACGCACACTCTCTCTCTCTCACACACACACACACACACACACACACACACACACACACACACACACACACATACACACATACACACACACACACACACACACACCAAAAAGGATGCCAAAATCTGTTTGTAAAACCGATAGATACCAGAGTTACACCGGAAGAGATAACGATAAATCTAGAAATGTCCTTTTCTCTACACTGTCACATATCAATTCGAAATAAACAGTTTTACCATGGGATATCAGAGGCCTTTAGGAAGATGTGACATAAGGATCATTTTCGTCTGTTTGATTTTAAAAAAAGTATTCGTTTCGAAAGGTATTTATTTTATACCATTTCTCTGTCGTTCGAATTGGCTATGTGACTTTCTTAAAAATCATATTGGAAATTAATTTAGAAGTCTCTAGAAAGAGTGTGGCGTAATTATTTTTCGACAATATTCGTGATATTTTTGCTTTTTGTTATTGCCAAAACAACAGTGTATGTTGCAGACACACACACACATACACACACACACACACACACACACACACACGCACACACAGACACACACACACACACACACACACACACACACACACACACACACACACACACACACACACACACAAACATATATATATATACACACACAAACACACACACAGACACATATATTTGTATCTATGGGTATATATGTATATATATTTTTTTACATGACTTATAAAGTCTCCCTCAGCTTATTCTGATAAGTCGGTAGATTTCTGCAATACGACCAACCACAATAGTAAAGAAATTTGCCCCGTGGTACAGACGCGGATGGAATGCTGAGCTATCAAATTTCGCTAACCGATAGGGATCGGCTTCGATTAATAATGCCGTCTGACAATGATTTATTAAACGACCCATGAACCTCTTATAGGCTACATCAAATCTTCTAGTGGGAAAGATGTTGTTGTACTAGATCCACTTGTACATTTATCTAGGTTACTACTATTTTGGTATATAGTAGGGTGAATGTTTTTGTTTTTGCTTGAATGTAAACCATAAAACTAGAATAATTAATTGTTATATTTATGAATTTTCACGCGCGCACACACACACATAAAACAGTCATTATCAAAAGGACTGATGTTAGCCTCAAAAGCGTCAACTCAGTTTAAGAAAGAAATGACGTTTATATCAAGTTGGTTTCCACTCATCATGACAACTCAGAATCGTGTCCGTGCCCCCACCCCCCTTATGTTGTGTTCTGCCCTTGGCGTGGGCAGTGCCATTAAGTACTTACGGTGCCTGGCCCTCCTTCACAGCTGTATTGTAGAGGTGGCCCCTTACCGAGCGTAATGTGCGCATGCACGTGGCTGCGGCCGCCATTTTTTAGTCTTGGGGACAAATTAAACAAATGGCTCTGTCTGGCTTCTTTTCAGACCCAACAATTCAGCTTTGTTAAATATAGTCCTTCACCTAAATGGGTTAAAATTACTCATAAGATATGGACGCATAAGCACGCATAGAGACACACATGCACGCGCCCATGAACATACATGTACACAAACGCGACAGCAGAACACAAAATTACACACACGCGCCTACAGAACCACAAACACACAAACGTGCGAGCGCATATAGACTGTATATATGGAAAGAAAGGTAAACTGATAGATCGATAGACAAGGGATAGGTAAGGGGCAGCTGTGTAGTATCTCCTATTGGGGGCAATTATAGTCTAGTAAGATGTTTTCTCTACATCACCATGATGTCACTTTCTGCTCAACCATGTTGGTAATGAGCAGCTGTCTTTTTGTACACATGAGAGAGAATTTTCAGTAATCTCGTTGAGTTTCTCCTTCCTTTGAAGGGAAAATTAAGAAGTACACTATCGATGTGACTTTCGTAAAAAAAAATGTACATGTATGGCTAGCATGAAATCCTGAACTCTGCCACCATGGGGAATATTTATTTTCATGTAATGGCTTTCCAGGCTACTATTCTTCTTTCAAAATTCGCCTAGGCCCATTTTCACGTAACCATTTGCACTGGTAGGTATATAAAAGTAATTCAAAGTAAGAATGGTATTTATAAGGAAGTAACTATACAACTTTCTTAAGTAAATACCTACGATAGACCTTGGTGATCAATCATATAAAATACTCTAATACATGTGCTTTTTATTGTGGAACTTAATGGATTTCATACACTGCGTTGGGTAATTAAATTGTTACATATGTCAAGATAACTAGTGGTTAATAATCGAAATCGCCACTGGATAATTTTTAGGCATAGTGCATATGGATCCATTTAAATATTAGCAATTGTTACTTGATTTCAATCTGTTGCAAGATCCCCGAGCAAGTTACTCTTGCATTTCCGCCAGCAATTCAGAACAAGTTACACGAAATCGTTTGAAGTTCAGCGACCCTTATTTCCCCAAAACACTAGTATATATAAAAAAAATAGTGGATAATAAGGGTAAAGGGATGG